CGTGCAGATTGTAATAGCCATTTCCTGATTTGGACGTTACACTTAACCGAAATTGTGAACTAAGCTTTCGGGTCGGTCTCAATGGTTTCCTCTGTGTTCGTCTATGAAATATCGCAGTGTAAGGTCATCGCCATTTGAAGAACGGTATACAGCGCAGAAGTAATAATTGAAAGATGAGCAAGGGGGCAAGATTTCAGCCACATAGTCTGGAACTCGCGGTTGATGAGATGCAAGTCGATAAGCAAGGTGGAAGAAACTGAATCATGGAGAAATACAGAATCTCCAGCTTTGAAAATGAATGTTTTGTGAGGAGAATCATTGGGGTACTGAAGGCAAGTGGCGTCTGTATTAGATGAAAGTTAGGTTTCAAATAAAAATGGAGCAGGAGTGGAGGGCGACGGGCTAAGAAAATTAATGTACACAATTAATGCTGCCGTTCAAGCGGAGGGGTTTAGTGAGTACGACTGTTGAATGAGTAAAGTGTTCATGTGCTGTAATCCTGTGTGATATAACATCCATAGTGAGATGAGACATGATGAATAAGTTGAACCCGGAACTTGGAGTGACGAGCCACTTAAGGTTGTGATGTTTTGGCGGTGGTATTCACTCGGACGACAAAATAACCATATTCTATCTGGGTGTTTCCTAGTTTTCCAATTCACGCTTCGTTCGCTCTACACGTGGCAAATTTCACCATATACTTTTTTGGACAATTCGGTAGCTTTATTAGTCGAAATTATCCGCACTTTTTCAGGATATCAGATACTTTGATCCCAGTATTTCCTACCGGCCGGCAGCAGGGAACAATGTTAAACCAAACGGCTGTCTTCACATATCCGTTTAACGTTCTTCCGAAAAATACAATAGGAACTGATGCACCAGCACTTACCGTTTCCTAAGACAAATGCTACTGGTCGTCAAAAGATACGTTAAAGCTGACCGTTTGCTATCATACTTTGACCTTGTTCAGGACAGTTGTTGTTGAACGTGCACCCAAGGGACGTTAGTTTCAAATGAAAATGACAAGCCCCAATGTTTTTGCACAGCAATAAAACGTCTAACTTCGGGGAAATCGCATGGATCCAGGCCCACTTTCCGCTGTTTTACCACCTTGACGTTCAGCGGTAGACCATGTGTGTGTCTGTGTGGAAACCATGAAGGTTTGAATAGCTCCACCACCAAACTCGATTTCGTATCATGTATCATTTCAATCTAGAGACGTTTACTCCAACCTGGGATTCGGAATGAGCCTGCGTACAACAGATCGGAAAATTTCTTCCTTCACGTTCGGCATTTCATGGTTCAGAATTTTTCCATTTATCCTCATGGCGGGTAGGTTGTTGCTGTGCAAACGTTCTCAACACCTGCCCGAGACATTGCAACTGTATAATGACGTGGTAGGTCTGAGAGATGGGATTTCCGGTTTCGTATTCGTTGACGCACTCTATCATTGCTCACATGATACAACCCCCACGAAACGCAAGCGGTTGTTCGAAGAAAATGTTTATGAGACATAAAAGTAGCTCGATCTTAGATCTGTACAGTCACACTACGTGCCCCGTGGAATTGTACACCAAAACTTTGGGAGCAAGGTTGATATCATACTTTCGTTAGAGAATGTCTCTCCAGTCTTGTCCAAATTTCTTACCAACTCTCTTGCCATGTAATACATCTTGAAAAACAAACAGTCTTAAATGATGTTCAACCTTCCACTAAACCAGATGAAAGCAGGCTAACTTTTCCACTCATGAGTAGTTATGTTGTCCTTTAAATGCAGAAATCACTTACCTTTTAGTGTCATAGCAGTCACCAAATGTCTCCGAGTCTTTTTACGGAATCAGAGCGATATCATAGACATATTCTGACTAGGGGACTTTATTTCTAGGCGGTACCTGTACACTTCCATTTAAAAAACCAGGCCACGACTTTTCGAGTCTGTCGTTCATTACAAACTTTAAAGAGTAATTGTGAGATCGGTCATCCTTATCGTACTCTACCTCGGCAAGAGCAGGGGGTCTCAGGATTGTAATTGCTCTCCTTGAAGCAAAACAACTGACCCCGGGATACCGCCTAGTCGGTAAAATTTCCAGCTTGCCATGTGGGGAAAGCCGTGAAAAAAACGGGGAAAGCCCCAATTCACATAAGCGGTAGGAATCAGCCCGATAGGGCAGTGGGGGCAGAGCACCATGTTTTTCTCCTTTCGGCGAATTATTGGCTGTTTAGAATATCGTATTGGCGATTATTCACAGGTGTTAAGCACTGTTGATGGTGGGGAATTAACGAACACAGAGAATGAAACCCATACCATCAAAATCGCTTGGGGTCTGTAAGCAATCGAATGGGCTGTCGGTTCTTATATGACCAGAACGCTTGAAATAATGTTTGCACTGTTGAACTGTGTTCTCTGTGTGTTGACCACATAGGTTTATTTTCTTTTCCCATCCCTAAAAGTAGGCCCACTCCCTATCCTCTTTGCACATTTTCACACACCTTGTGTGTACTGAGTTTGGCAGCAATCAGTGAAGCTCGCTTCACTGTATAACGCTGTACAATGATGATGATGATCAAACCATGAGTTCCAGACGTTGACCGTCTACTATGTAGCTCAACGACAAGGGAGTCAACTCCCACTCAGAAGGTTTTCGGTTCTAGTCCCGACCGGAGTACACCAAAAGGTATGCACTGCTGACGAGTTCTTACAAGGACGATGCAGCGGTCCGGTGATCTTTGTCGGTCTTCAAAGGGATTTCTGTTGCAAACAAGTCTACTGACTATCTTATGCCCCTGCACACACTTGACAATTTTACTTGTGCCTTATCACATGTATATATTCAAGGGCTTTCAAGCTCCGATTGAATTCCATTTGCTTATCTTGGAAATTACCGCTTGGTTGTGAATTGTAGTCTGATTGTTGCGGCCCAATACACAGCATACAAATCAACCTTGTTCTCTGTGTCTGTCGGGTGATCTTCCTTTTTCTTGAGTCATTCCAGTTTATGTGCCACCGGGTTTATCTACGCTTGGTTATTCTGTTCAGTTCGCAGTCATTACCGATCTGGCAAACAGAAAAATCGGATGTCAAAGCAATCGTAAACTTTCACACTCCTAGGTCTGTTGACAGATGGAAGGAGAACAACATGATTCTGGTAACATTTCTAGGAAACATTAAGTCAGCAGCGTATTCTAATATTATCAGTTTTCGATCTTCGGTAACTGTGGCATTAGTAGAGTATCTGATGAAGAGCGCAGCTTTGAACCATGCGGTCACCTCTTGGATTAATTCCTCTTATTTTGGATGATAAATGACGCATTTGGGTGCAACTGGAGTTAAGCCCATTTCTTTATGGTTATCACAGATGGTGCTGGATTTTTTTTTCCAAAGTGTGATAGAATTACTCAGATAAGAAGAAACTTTGTTAGTTTTACAAACCGTTTTCACACAAACACGCTCATCCCATCTTTAAGGGTCGTTAATGGCAGCCTATTGGGACCAGGCACTTTGTGGTGTTTTACAGATGTAAGCGCCATGATGATTTCTTCCTCTTTAGGATGGTAGTTCTGTAAGGAACACAAGTTTTCAGCTGGAACAGTGATTAATGTAGGGGGTCAGTTGATTTGACACTTGAGTTGCCTTGCCCAGAGTTTCAAGCGATTATACTTGCGTTGAGGTACCATGTTCCTCGGATTACTCCATTGAATCCAGGTTTACCAACAGCAGTTACACAAATGAAATGGAGCATCTTACCACTTTTTCCGAAGACACTAATCGACTGCGTCTCAGTTGTGCGATCTAATCACTAGCTCTCGTGATTCTTTCTTAAGCTTGGGATAAGCCCACGTTTTAAGGAAACGCGTGCTACGTTCGACCGACTGTCATCTAGGAGCTTTTCAGATCCAGAACTCCAAAGGAGCTTGTGGAACCCAGATAATTACTGGTCTAGGATTAAGACCGTTACATGCTAGACAATCACTATTCTAAGCTTACTTTATTCATTTCCATTGACTTCGACTTAAAGGTTGGTGTCTGCGTAGGAATATCAACCTAGGCGCAAGGTTTGTTCAGTCCGTCAACCCACACCGTTGAAAGTTTTGTTCATGTTGAGCCGCCGATATGTAACCCAATACTATGCAATCCAAATCCATACAACTAGTGTTTCACCATTACTTCACTTGTAGCTAACCTCATCGTGGTCCATTGGTGTCCAGTCTGTTAATAGTGAAAATAGCCG